TGAATTTTTTATTATCTGACTTTTTTTTATTTTTTTTTAAATTTTTATGGAAATATAAATTCAAAAAATAGAATGTTGAGAAATCAAAAATTTAAAGAAGTCTCTTAAATATAGATTTAATTGATTAATTTTGAAGATTATAATTTGATTGGTTAAAATATTTGGTAGAATAATTTTAATTGATTTTTAATATAATTGATATTATAATTAAGAATATATATATATATATATATATATATATAATAATCAAAAAATCCATATATAGTTTCTATGCACTTCTAAATGTATTTTTTTTTAACTTTTTCTGTGAAATTTATTATAAATTAAACTTTTTCCAAAAAAAGGAATCAAAATATATAATTTTATAAAATTTTCCAAACAAGTGAGAAGAATTTAATTGTAACACTTTATTTTTATTTATATTACTAATTTATAAAATATTAAAAAAAAATATTTTGGAAAAATAGAATTTTGATGCAATATTTAATTTTATATTTTGGAATCAAAATTTTAAATAAATATTTTCATTTATATTTTTCTTAAATAATGTTTTTAATATATATATCATATATATCATTGTTATTATAAATTATATATGTAGTATAATTTTTCTAATTATCTGTAACGAATGTTATTTGTAACTAATAAATATATAAAAATAGATTTTTATATTTTTATATTTTTTATTTTTTATATTGATTTTCAATTAAAATCTATTTGATTACAATTGATTTATTTTTATAATTCATTAGGCTTTTTCTAATTTTCTATAATTTAATTTTTATATTGTGTTAATGAAAAGTAAGAAATATTGTTTTACTTATGATTCAGAAGGAAATTATCTTAAGTATTTACGATTAGATTGCGACATTTTTTATATTTTTGCAATTATTACATATATAAAATGCCTCACTCATGTTTTTCAAAAATATTATAAAATATAATTTTTATAAAAACCAATTACCAATTTGTCTTTTTCCATTTTTTTATTAGTTATTTACTATTTTCTATTATTAGTTATTTTCTATTTTTTTCTTATAAATATATTGCATCAAATTTATATTCTGAATATTAATAATACAAATAAAAATAAAATGTTATAGGTTAAATATATTTAATTCGTAATTATGATAACCTAATTCCTCTCAATTCATTTCAATTATCATTTCATCATAAATCGAAATTTTAATTATTACTTATTATGATTACATTATCTAAGAGATTTTAAAAAAATATAGTAATATCAGTCATCATAGTTCTTATCTTTTAAATCAAATATATACACCACATGACGTTTTTCGCAGATTCTCCCACCTTAACTCTTCTCTTATATGTACACGAAGTATGAATTTAACCAATGTAAAAGCCGACATGAACCGAAGTTGTTAGTTAGATTTCACCAGTCTGACAGTAGATAACTTGCACATATATAGTGCCGTAATTGCAACAGGTATGTGTATACATATATAATTAAAAGTAATTTGAATCAGTAAATATTTATCAATTAATGAATATCAAATATATTTTGCAAAAAATAAGTTTTTTAAATGTTAAATGAATATATCTTTAAACATAAATGTTAAATTAATATAATTATTTGATTTATTTTTAATTTTATAGTATTAATAAAATAATAATTAATTAAATTAATAATTTATAAAGATTTGTTTTCAATATAAGTACTAATTGAATAATAGATTTCTATTTTTAAATTTTGATCATTGAGTTGTTTTAAGACTCAATTTAAGTTGGTATCTATTTTTGTTAAAACGCTTTGTCTTTTTTTTTTGTTAATATTATTATTTCAGTTTAGTTCAATGCGATCAATGTCGATATATTGTACTAATATTAATTTTTATTTCAATAAATGCTTCATTCTCTTCGTATCAATCGATCGATAATGGAATGATAACGTGGAAACTTTTAGTAATAATGATTCATTGCAAAATCAATATATATGTATAACAAGGAAAAGATATTTTTGAGTAACAAAATTGAAATATGTATCAAGTAGTCTTCAATTGTTTTCTCATTTGAAGAATATTCATTACTTGATTTAAATGTAATGAATTTATAATCATTTCAAAATAAAAATAAATAAAAAAAAAAAAAACAACGGAAAAGATTTTCATCATTATTGTATAAAATTATAATAATTCATTCACATTGTATATGTTAACAAGCTATTGTAAATTTTTGCAATTGCATATTTCTTATATTAATTTGTTTTTATTTTTAATACATGATATTCATTTAATAATAAATAATATAATAAATAATCAACCAATTTATCAGCTTGTTATCACATATTTCCTGTATAACAATTACATATATAAATAATTTCTTGGAAATCATATATTTTATTTTTCATTTTAATTTTATTATTTAGAAATTTTTTTAACTACAACAATTCTTAATTATTTTATTTTCAATGTAATATATATTATGTAATGAAATGAAATACATTATGAAACATTTATGTATTTGCATTCAACAGCAATTATTTACACACGTTATAAAATATGATTACGAAATTTTTTGTGTTTGTCATAGAGATCTCCAATTTCATAAAACACAAAAAAAAGAAATAATTTAAGAAAAAATATATTTATCAGATTAAAGAATTTAAGAATTATGAAAAATTTGAATAATTTTGACAATAATATGAATTCTTTTTATATTTGTCAGATATTATATTTTTTTTCTATCAGCATCAATATAAATAAATGATATCAGAAAATATCTGACTTCATATCAACATTGTCATATTTAATCGATTAATTATTCTCTATTTTATATTTCTCTATTTTTATCTGATTACTAAGAACCAATGATTATTAAGACGGAAACAATTTTGTTACATCATTTTGCTAGAAAATTATTTCCATTCGATTCGAAAAATTAATTTTTTAAATAATAAAAATTGATTTATTTATGTGTTTCAGATAAAAAAATTTAAATATAATAATGGAAAAAGGGATACCATCACCACCACCACCACCACCTGGTTTCATTCCACCCATACCACCACCACCATATGGTGAATTTCCTCCGCAATCACAATCACAACCACAACCGCAATCACAACCACGTACGTAAAAAATATATGTACATAAATGTTAAAATATGAGAACAATATAATAATTTTAAATAGTGAATAGCAATAGTAGGTTATCGGGAAACCAAAAAAGTACAAAAAACGTATAAAGTAATTTAATACAATAAAGATTTGAAAGTGTTTAACCACACTTATTTATATAATCATGCGCATCGTTTATAATTGTTGCTGCAGATAAAATCCCTAAAATTGAATCTATGATAATCAAAAACAAGCAAGATATATATGTATGTATTGGTGCTTCTTTTTCTACGTGGCATTCTAGTGATGACGAATTAAGATTATTTTGTAACTTAAAAAAGCAAATGAAAGTTTTAAGATAATACTTTTCAAATAGATTCCAATAATTCACAATGCTAAAGAATTTTTCAAATTATATAGATATATCGTCATCGTTGGAAGGAGAATTTAAAATTAGAATAAATAAAACTAATGAAAATACAAAGTCAATAAAAATTCTTTAATTACATATTATATTTTGACCATATTATATAAATCTTAAAACATGTGCTAAATATTTAATATTATTTTTAATAATATTCTTAAATATATATTATAAATATTGAAGTTAAATGTATTCAGTAAATTTTACTAAAATTCTTATTTTCAATAAATAAATTTAAATAATGATATTAATAATAGTTAGATATTTATGATTTTTATTACTATTATTATTATATTAGAAAAAATTTTTTTAATTATTAATATTTTAATTTACAAAAATTTATATTTTTATAAAATAAGTTTTGTCATTATTAATAATTACTACTGTTAAATATTACTGTTAAATATTTTTATATGAAAAACCTAATATTAAATAATAATTTTGCAGATATCATTGTCATTGGAAATACACAGTTTGGTTCAGAATCACAACAATTAACATGTCCATATTGTCATGCGCAAATTAGTACAAGAGTTGAAACTGAATCAAATATGAAAACTCATTTATTTGCATTACTTCTTTGCGCTTTTGGGTAATTATATAAAATATAATTAAATTTTATTTAAATTTATTAATTATTTTATAAAAAAGAAAAATTAAATCATATTTATAATTGTTTTTAGATTTTGGTGTTGTGTTCCTTGTCCTTACTGTATTGACAGTTGTTTATCTAAAAAACATTACTGTCCAGCTTGTAATGCATATTTAGGAGAAGCAAACAACTGAAAATAAATTTAAGATATAAGTATGAAATAATATATAATATAAGTATAAAGTATTATATACTGCTGAAAATAAAGTATTATTAATAATTTTTCTTTATATAATATACATATAATACGTATATATATATATATATATATATATATATGAATTATAATATATATATTATTATAATTTTTTATTATGTATATAAAAATATTATGCATTTATTTTACGTAATTAATAATAATAACAAAGAATAGATTAAAAAATACATATGAAAAAATACATATGAAAAATTCTGAATTCTATAATATAAAAATGTGATTAATAAATATTTATAAAATTTTTTATATGTATAAATATCGTAGATAATTAAATTAAATTAAATTAATTTAATTTTAATAATTTAAAATTTTAAATTAATTAATTTGTTATTTTCTTATATCTAATTGATAATTTCATATCAATTTTAAATTATAAATTCAAATATTATATATCAAATGTGACTACTATATAATAATATGTGACTACTATATAATAATTATATAATACTATATAATGTGACTAAATAATAATAAATATAATTTTAAAAATAAAATTTTAATAAAATATATGATTTTTAATTTTTTAAAATGATTATACTATGTAATTATATTTAACAATATCTATATAAATATAATATTATATAATATTAATATAATGAAAGTTTTTTTAATTATTAAATTAAACACATTTATATAAGAATTTGTTTTATTACTATTTAAGTAAAGTTATATACAGCAAATTCTGAATATCATCCGATTGGCAGTATGCATGGTCAGATTGAATTATGTAAAAGAATATATATTAAAATGAATATTTTCACTGAGGACTATTTTTATTCATATATCCATTTTTCTGCCCAAGATGTCCAATCAATAACTTCTTTTTCTTCTCCAAACCATAGTTTGATCTCTTTATTAGCAGATTCAACAGAATCAGATCCATGAATAATGTTACGTCCAACTTGAATACAAAAATCACCACGAATTGTTCCTGGTGCAGAATCCTTTGGATTTGTTTCTCCTAACATGAAACGACCAGTTTTTACTGCATTTAAACCTTCCCATACCTAAAAAATAATTATAAAATAAATAAAATATATAAAATATATAAAATTCATAAAACATATTCTTTATAATATAAATATATTTACTATATAATTACCATTGGTACAACTGGTCCTGAACTCATATATTTAATTAATCCAGGGAAAAATGGTCTAGATGCCAAATCTGAATAATGTTTCTTTAATAATTCTTCAGTTGGCTGTAAAGAAAAAATAAAATCTTATTGTTATGTATTTAAATTATAAGTTATATGTGTTTAATTCCATTTATATCATAAAATAAAAAATGCAATATAATTTAGGTTATGTGCCAATATAACTTTATATAATTCAATTTTAATTAATTATTATTATTAATTATATAGTTATTAAAAATAAGTTATTATTAATTTTAATAATAATAAAAAAATTTTTTATGTTTTAATATAAAATTAAATTTAGACATTTAAACTTATTTTCACAAAAAACATTTTAATGTCATAAAATATAGTAATGAAGGTCACAATAATTATTTATCTTTATGATAAAATATGATAGATGAAAGTGTTTATTAATGAATATAAGCCAATATAAAACGTTTTTGCATAATTATAAAAAATCAAAATATATGTGTTTTTTCTGAAATGAATATTATTAATATTAAACTTACCCATAACATTTTCATTGCTACAAGCTTAAAACCTTTTTCTTCAAAACGTTGAATTATTTTTCCAACAAGTCCGCGTTGAACACCATCAGGCTTAATCATAATAAACGTACGTTCTTTGTTTTCTGCCATTATTAACTTACAAAATAAATGAAGTAAAACTAATGTGGAGCACAAAACCATGCACACCGGCAACGACACCGACAGAGTGAGATTGAAAGAACGGATTAGATCTTTACTTATTCGAATTCTTCCAATGTGGTGGGGAAATCACCAGTCGTCACTATTGCAAAGCCATTCTCCACTCTTGCCGCATGGCGCTCGAGTATAATTTGTTCAGGAGTAGTCATATTTTGACTCAATAATTTCTTTTATTTTTTAATTTTTCACAATATATTATTTCTTACATATTTTTATATGATAAATATATATTTTTTTATGAATTATGAAATCTATGAAATATTGTAATTTAAAAATAATATAGTTATTATGATATACATATAATTATATAAAAATATATTTAATATGTAAATATTCATTTAAATTAAATATTTTTTTTTATTATTCTATTATTATATTTATTCTTTATTATATTTATTAAAAATTTTCATGCAGTTACTAAATAATATTTATTACTTAATGTCAAATAAATTTTTTTTATTACAATATTTAAATATGTTATAATAATATTTTTACTGGAAATTGATCTTTACATTACAAATGTCCAATATTTATGAAATATAATAGCTGATTATATATAATTTGATTATCGGTTACATCAGTATGACGTATTTCCCGCGCATAGAATGTCGTGAGTCTCTAATCCGGAATGTGTTCATCGATTGGTTTTTCACATCAGCCTGTCTTACGTATACGTAGTTCACGCTATGTTAAAAATTATTCTAGCATTGATAGACTATCGTTCATGAAGAGCATAGTTATTGTGATAATATTTTATTTAAAAATTTTTCACTAACAAAATTTTTTTCGATTATGTAATTTATTTTTTATGTGATTTGCATATTGCTGTATTAATTCTCAGTTTAAGTAAAGTGCTTGAAAATCCATGATGGCGCATATTGAAAGATTGCGCTAGTGCATGCCAATATAAGTGCCGCGCGTATCTGTTTTTGTTTCGATTCTTCAGAAAATACAGAATTCTCGTTAGATTTGATACATTACGGTTTTCGATACTGGATTTATGCAAGATTTTTCGTGACAATAAAATTTCTGTGCCATTTTATATCATTGCCGTTTCTATATCATTTTTTATGGTGGCCATCATCATGCAAGCACAGCAGCAGCCACAGCAACAACAGCAGCAGAATCATCAACAAATTGCAGGCACCAGTGTCATTCTCAAGATGAACGAGATACAACAGCTTTCGACAGTTGGTACGTAGTAAAACAATTTCAACTACGTACCATTTTATTTTAAGTGTCAAATTTTCATTAACGAAATTCGGTCAGATATGTAATAAGTTTGCAAATATTGATTTTGCAATGTTTTAATTCGTGTTATTAAAAATACATTCTATAAAAATTTCCATTATTAATCCTAACAAATAAAAATTATATAGATTTATTTTTATAAGTAATTATGAATTATACTACATTATGTCCGCAATTTAATTTTACCAAACTTAATAAATTTTATCAAAATTAAATTTTGCTTTCGCTTATAAAAAATTATTGAATAAAACTGAATTTGCAAATAAAATTTTCTGTTTATTAGAAAAATAATATTGTTATTAATAATTTGTTTAATTAATTATTATATACTTATAAACTAGTTATTTATATGTATATTATTTAATCGCAATGCTATAATATAGGATAAAGATGTATATGTATATGTATATATATATGTGTATATATATGAAATATATGGTACTTAGCAATAAAAGCTTTCAAATAATGTGGGATAAAGAATAATAAATACGTCACATGTATAGATACATATATGTATAAGTGTTGTTTTCTTTCTTTACAAGCCTACAAAAATTTTATTATAATATATTATTCTATTATTACTGTCCTTAAAATTCTTCAAAGCATTTATTTTATTTTATTTTTTCTATGAATAGAAGCAATTAATACTATTGTATTATTATTTGTGTATAATATTTTCAAATCTATTCTTTCTTAAACTGCCTGTATAAAGTATATATTGAAATATGTTGCGAACAAATATCAAGGTTTCAAGCTTACACACATTGAAATCTATATTACCATTACCAGTACAATATACTAATTCCTGTATCGATATATATTATATCTGAAATCGATATTCTAATTTGGTCTATATATATTGCACTGTGTATCATGAAAGAAGTTGATACATATATCATACATGTTTCACGTGTGTAGGCCGCTTTAAACTACCTATTCTTCCCCTTCACTCTTCAGTCGTTGTTTCCGCTTCATCAAAGTGACGATGGAATATTCCACTTGGTACCTATGCCATCTGTTTTCTGTACAAGAGAGTGGGGATGACCGTCTCTACATTTCAGTGGTGCTTTTCTTTATTTAATTTTATTAAAATTAAAAATTCGTTTCTATATTCTTATTTCAAATTTTTTAATATAATAATAATTTAATTAAATTTTCTAATATAATAATTCTAATAATTGCAATAATTCAAAATAATTGATATTATTTTAAATTTTGAGTGAAATATATATTTTATTAACTTCAAAACATGTTATTATTTTGAATGAATTTTAGAATTTCAAAAATCAATAGTATAATGTTAAAAAAATATTAATTTGACTTAATGTTGAAACTCCAATTTTGATATAAATAACTAATTGATTTTAAAAATTAGTTTTATTTATGAGGATTGAGAACCACTATTATGATTTCTTTGTGCTCTCAGTTACGTATTAAAAATGCTAAACCTTATCGAATTTTAGGAGACATTGAAATATATTTACAAACATAGATATAACAATAATTTTTATTCCAAAATTAATCCTTAATAAAAATTATTAATGAATTGACAAATGATATGAAATATGATTTTACAAAATGAAAATAAAATTAAAAAATATATATATATATATATATATATATACATATTCATATATATTTATAGATATTACTTTAATTTCTTTATATATTTCTTTTTATTAATGCTAATTCTAAATTAAAAATAAATTCTAATTAAAAATAAAATTAATGTAAATAAAAAATTTAATTGTTTTAAATGTAAATAATTTGTTTTTATTAATAAAAAAAGAATTTAAAATTAATTCTATAAAAAAATATTTATTAACTATATTTGAAATTGATAAAATTATCAAAAGTAAAAAATGAAATATATGCAAAATGAAAAAGCATTAAATACTAAATGCAATTTTACGGACCTGAGCCGGGTGTCTTCTTTACCCCCTTCTTCGGCTTTTACCCAGCGACGCAGGAGTCTGCCATAGTATTGAATTGACCAATCAGCTTGGTTCTTGGTCTGGCGGGGATAACCTGGCCAAAGCGTACTTGCATAGAAACACGGAGAAGATAGTGTGTACAGAAACGAAGAGTAAATAAGTATTGTGGTACAATTTATAATAGCCGATAAACAGTAACTTGAATAATACATGAAAATAATTAAATCTGAAAAGTAAAAAATAATTTAGAATTAAATAGTGCGAATTGTTGGAAAAAAATTGACTTACTAAACTAGTGTGTGGAAAAGTCTCGAAATTGGTCGAAAGTGATTGCGTGGAAACAGCGTGTGTGTGTACCGGGAAGAATAGAACAACGCGTTTGGAAAAATTCATCGACAAAATGAGTATACGATTGGCAGAAAAGAAAGAAAACGTTATAAAAAATTCGAACGGCATAATCGGAAATGTGGTCAATAGTTCGGATGACGTTTGTAATGGAACCGTCGAGTGGCAAAATGGACAGAATCTTCTAGTTGTTACACAGGATACTCAGGGCAAGGAATTAATTGCAATTGCTGATAATCAGACCATTAATGTTGCAGTTGACTCTTATTGTTCGTATTTTTATCTCATAATTTTTTTTATGCTATTTTAGAACTTAAAAAATCGATATATTTTAGTTAGAAGTATATTGTTTTTGTTTAAATTGCAGCATAATACGTAATATTTGGAAATAAATTAAAAAATATTTTAAAATTAAAATAATAATAAGAAGAAAAATACTTAAATAAATAAAAATATATTTTTATATATTATTTTCTTTTTCTTTATATTAATATCATATTATAATATTATAATATTTAAATGAAATTTTTTTTTAAATGAGATTTTTATATTAATTTTATATAAAAATTTATATAAAATTTATTTTATATGATATATGGTTTTATTGTATATTTTATCATATATAAATATTTTATAAAGAAATTTTATGTAAATCATATTTATTATAATATATATTTTTTATTAGTATATATCAATGAGAATACATAAATATATATTGTTTTGAGTTTCTTTTTGAACAATATATGTTTATATTTATATTTTATATTTTATATTTATCACAAATATAATTAAATTTACTTAAGTCTTTAAGTAATTTTTTTAAATAAATAGTTATGTTTATTTATATTAAAAATATAAAGTTCATAAAAAGAATTATATATTTTTAAGAATTGTATATAAATATTTTACAATGTATTTTTTTTTATAGGGTTATTGGAACTTGCACATAGAGAATATCAAGCAGGAGATTACGAAAATGCTGAAAGACATTGCATGCAACTTTGGAGGCAGGAAACAAATAATACTGGAGTTCTTCTATTATTGTCTTCTATACACTTTCAATGCAGAAGACTAGAGAAGTAAATATTTAATTTTATAATTGTTAAATAATTTTAAAATAAAATATAAATAGATTCAAATAAATTTTTGTTCTTCCATTTTAGATCTGCTCATTACAGCAGTCTAGCAATTAAACAAAATCCCTTATTGGCAGAGGCTTATAGCAATCTTGGAAATGTTTTCAAGGAACGTGGTCAGCTACAAGAAGCTTTGGAAAACTATAGACATGCTGTTAGATTGAAACCAGATTTTATTGATGGTTATATCAATTTAGCAGCAGCATTAGTAGCTGCAGGAGACATGGAACAAGCAGTTCAGGCATATGTGACTGCTCTACAATACAACCCTGTGAGAAATTTATTCTATTTAATAAAAATTTGTTATTCTTTTGCAAATTTTTAGATTGCGTAAATTCAATTTGTAGTAAATATAATTATATTC